TTCTATGCAAATATTGTTTAATTAAAATTGGTTTAAAAAATATTAATTAATTGATTTAAAGCCTCTTAAAATTAAATAAATAAGCAAAGGAACACACACACACACAAGAGCAAAGGAGATTTAAAACCTAAATCAAGGAAATCTGTAAAGATGCCAAAAAAGATCTTGACAACAGTATTGTAGTGATTTCTGTTAATTAATGCCAGAAAAGCAGCTTTTTTCTTTCAGATTTCTGCAGCGAAATTCCCATCGGAAGTCATCATGGTGAAGAGTAAAGAAGACATATTTTATACATATGATGTTATGTACTGTACATCTTTTATTTGCAAGATATATACCTATATATATATATATATATATAATTCTCAGGTTTTCAATATTTTTGGACCCCACTGTACTGTGTATGTACATATTTATTTAAAGTAATTATATTTAAATGCAGATAGATAGATAGATAGATAGATAGATAGATAGATAGATAGATAGTACTCTTAGTATTTAGAAGTTGTGTATTTATTGACTGACAACATCAAGCATTTTTTTTTGTGAATGTACGAATTTTCCACACACCCATAGTATCAGTTTTACTTTAAATGTATTTCTTTAGATTTGACGGTTTCTTAAATCTCTTACAATTAAATAATTAAACAATTTAAATTAAGAAAATCTTGTGCAAATATATTCATTGAAATGCTGCCGGAAGATATCTTGAAATCACTATTGTAGTCATTTCTTTTAAAGGGGTCATCGGATGCCCATTTGATATAAGTTGATATGATTCTTTAGGGTCTTAATGAAAAGTCTATAACATACTTTGGTTAAAATTTAACAATGGTAGTGTAAAAAACACCTTTTTTAACCTGTCAAAATGAGCTCTGTTTTTAGCAAGCAATTCTAGTCCATGTTGCTTTAAATGCTAATGAGCTCTGCTCACACAGCCCCTCTCTTCTGTGGGTGACGAGCAGTACTGTTTACTTTAGCTGCGAAACTGGCTAACTAGCACATATTAGTAAAGGCAATTTGCAAAGATTCATAAAAAACCTTATACTCACTTCTTATGTAGATGAAGCTCGATCACAAATGATTTGCGCGAACATAGACGCATTTAGGCAGATCGGGGATTGCCGCATTCCCTTCAAAACAAAAGTAACGTTAATCCTCTGCGTCTTCAGCGGCTCAGATGTCGGGAGTAAATGACGACTGCTATGTTCATTCTTGTCTTCCCCTGCACCGGAGTCGACACAATGGCAGACAGCTCACTCAGGGCTGGTCTTAAGGTAAGATGGACTTGTCAATCAACTGTCGTGGGAGTGGCCTGTGCAGAACTACTTCATTCTGACAGGAATCTCAGAACAGCCTGATTTGAGAAAGGGGATTTTAAAATAGGGATTTAAAAAAAAAACACTGGGTGGATTTTAATCATTATAGGATGGATGTTTACACACACTTCCAACACACATTTATGTTCAAACAACAACAAAAGTGAATTTTGCATCCGATGACCCCTTTAATTAATTCCAAAGAAGTATCTCTCTCTTTTTTTCAGATCTCCGTGCCGAAATCCCCATCAGAAGTCTTCGAGGGAAGATCCCACTATAGGTTCTTATTGCTTTACAATTGGTGCGGTTCTCTGAGGGATGCTGGGATAGCTGGGGGATTAATCGGATGGCGCTTAAGTGTGGGCTCTAAGGGCCCTGCCGGAGAGCTGGGTAATTTGCAAAAATTAATATAAACCAGTCCAATTCCTAGAAAAAAATAAGCACATATCTATGTCCCATTTTATCTCTTCAGGTGTTTTGCAGGAAATTCATACGTTCTCCAAAATGAACATAATATATGATAAGGTTAAAGGCCTTATGAATCACTGGCCCGTAAGTAATACTCCAATTAAAATGACTTCCTTTCCGCCTCCCCGTGAGCAAGGGCAGGTGCTAATGCAAGACGGCCCGCTCTCATGGAGGTCACTCACAGGCTGCTATAGGTTGCGGTAGGACATCTGTTCTCACTGCTGGGGTCTTTGAGCTCCTGGGGTTACCTTTTTCTTTCTTACACGCTTACAGACATATATATGCACACACACACTCCCCTCCTTCCATCAGGTTGGTCACTGGAGTCAGCCGTTGTAAGTGAGTTAGGAATATTTGCAGGTGAGCTAATTATTCTTGTGCTGTCATGTTTCCAGCCGAGCGTGCAGGACTAACCCCGATATAATCCCCTGAACACAATCAGCCTTTATTTAATTTTGCTTCTCATATCATGTGCATCCATGCAGCCCCAAGAAAGCATATCCACTCACTTCTGAGACCCCTTCCATTTTTCTTCCCATTTAAACAATGAACATCATATAGAGACAGAGATGAGGAAGAAAGAGGAAAAGATTGTCGCATGGAAATCCTGGGGTCATTCTTTGAAATAGGGTATTTATAGTATTTTTCTGTACGATGTTAAATATGTTTACATTTATGGAATATGTAATTGTTTTAGAAGACGGAAATATGAAGATAACAGTGTCTAGCCTAAAATACTAGTCTTTAATTTCCATATTTTCTTGTAATAAAATATATATATATACTGTATGTATATATATATATATATATATATATATAT